GCAGCTGGTCTTGGAAGTATTCGCGAACTTTGCGCGCTGATCGCATCAGGTCCACAGTAGTTGTGCGTGCGATAGCCAGCTACAGGGCAAAGGGTGGAGCAGGCTTGAGAAAAGCAGTTGAAATTCGACTCGATTGTATTGTGCTGATCTTCAAGATGGGGGTCGAGCAAGCGTACGATTCGTAGGCATTCTAAGTACCCAATTGAGTCATAACAAACGCAATGACCAAAGGTCCCGTGTTCGAATTCCAGGGTATGACTGACTGGTGATGGCTATTAAACCAGGAATTTCCATTCCAGTACCTATTGTCTTTGCCAATACGTCGAGACCTGTAAAATAATTTGTAGTTGTACGGCTCCGGCTATAAGTAAGACTGCACCTACAAACTTTTAAGGGAGGAAATTTGACGCAATTTGCTGAATAGGCAATAAACTCATATCAGAGACACAGAAGTCCATGATCCTGCTCCGTAAATCCCCAATATTTCCACTTTTGTTCACGTTAGTAGACAGAGCAGCCGTTTAGTACTAGTATGGCTTTGATCATACCTGCTATAGTCCGATGGATAGATGGAAGACAAGGAGAGCAGGTTCGGAAGACAAACAGTACTACCGGCCTGCACGGGTTTTTATACTACTCAAAACTCGACTTATTTCGGGCTCTGAGTGTTGTGGTACATTCCGGTCGTCGATCGGCAGTTCTTGTGTCAGAATTCTCTTGACCAGCCGCAGGCGCGCGGAAGCAAAGGCACCACACGTGCTCGATGTCGTGGCACGCGCCAATTGTCTGCCCGATTAAACGTGCGCGTTCCTCGGCTGCACCGGACGTGATGGCATCTTCGTTAGACCTTAGAGCACAGTTTCTGTTCTCCGCAACAATGTCTGACCCAGATGACATCAATTTTTCTGAGAGAGTTTGAGCATGTTCGGTGCAGATAGGGCCTTCACAATCACCCTGTACCTCTTTTAGGGGCTGACTCCTATAGAACCTAGACAACTAACCACAGGGCAGCGGCACTAAAGGTAAATTATTTGTCGCGAATTGGTGCTGATGTTTGTTGCTCTGTTCATACTACTATCAGA